GATCAGGAAGTTCTTATCTTACTGTACCCAGGTTAGGATGTAAAATACCAGGCCAGGTCATCACTAATCAGCTGATGACAATCTCATTTGGAGCAAAAAAAAAAACAAACAAAAAACAGGAGTTTCATAACACTACAAATAACTTTAGTTTTAATTGAGAAGATAAAGAATGGAAAAAAAACTGTCCAAATTACCTTAAGTCCAGCTGTGCCCTTATTTTTTAGTGAAAAAGAAAGTTAGAGACATTGAAAGAAAAAAGTAACTGTTTGTAATAACCTTGAAATGTGAAATGTTTCGGGGAAGCTGACCATAGGTGACCATTTAACACCATCCAGTAAATTATCCAACTCTACAGCATCAGCAAGACTGTCCACTGAGGTATTTCCATCTGCCCTTGTAGGTGTAAGCAACTGCCCAGACAAGTTATTGCATGGTGAAGATTTGAATGATTGCAGAATTTGACAAGACTTTGATTTCTCTGGAGTTTTAAATTGATCATTTCCATCTCTTCCAAAATTTGAGCTGCACTTTTCCATCCCTTCTGTACCACAATAATTTTTTGTACTACTGTAGGATTCCACGTGGTTTCTCTCATCAGATAATTCTTCACATTCCAATAATTCTTCATCAAGAAAGCAATTTTCTAAGCTTGTGTCCATGGTGTATTGTTTTATCATATTTCTATTTTCAACCAGATGGTTTGTGAAGTTGTACTGTTCTTGATCTGTATCTTGTTGCCCTTCATTGTCTCTGGGAGAGTTAGAGAGCATATCCTCATCTATTCTATCCCAAAGGTTACATTTCACTGCATTCTGTGACAGATATTGACAAAAAGCATCAGGATCCAGAAAGAAAACCAAAATGGCTAGTAAAACTTAGCAGGACAAGTAAGTTGAGCGTTAGTCAACTATTTGTTACCTACTAGTTGACTACGTTTATTACAAATCAGCTCTTGACTAACAAGGGCCTCTTGCTGTAATGATCAGATCACCCCTAATAAAGGCAATAAACGGGAGTGTTGAAATGTTGGATCAATGAATTGCAATTTCAGTTACATTCATTAAATCTTTAAACCAGAGTAGCATCAAACCGTGTCTGATTTCTACTTGGTTGCTGTGTGAACTTAAATAAATGAAGGCTACATTGTACCTATGGTACAAATGATCCAAAATAAATTTTTACCTTTTCTTGTGAAGGACATTCTGTTAATTGTCTCTTCTGTAGGGGAGAACTTCCCTTGGCTGCTGATCTTTTCATCCTTGATCTTAGAACAACACACTTTGATGGTGCAATAATGGAAGGAGACTCTTTCTGGTAATCTGCCTGGTTTCCAGTGGGTGATTGACTCTTTGGTGACTTACCAACTGATGCACCGATGGTGTACTTTTTTAGGGGACTTGACAGTACCCTGGGTGGCTTATACCCCTTCCTGGAAAGCTTATACTTTTTATGACTAGTTGCTTGTGTTGTCGCTTGAGACTCAACAGAGTTATGTGAAGGTAAAGATATATCTAAGACAGTTAACATTTGGTTATCCTCTCCTTTGATAGGATTGTTCCCAGCAAAGACCTCCCTTTTAATTTTAGCAGTTCCTCTTTCACTTGGCCTAGTTTTGTAATAATTTGCAGAAGAGGAGTGGTTGAGAATATTGGACATTCTGCTTTCATTATGCAACAATGGGGTACTTTCAGGACAACAGCTGATAAAACTATGTTGTCCATTTGGATATGGTGTTGGTGGAATGAAATCATCATCTTCAACAACTGTTGCTTCTGTGCTGTTGACTGCAAGATTACACTTAAATCTGTTCATCAGTGTATTCCTCTTGTTTCTCATCTGGCATATTGGTGATGGCAATAAAAAATTGTTGAATGTATTATTCTCATGAGCAAGAGAAGGCTGATTGGTTTCAGAGGAAAGAGATGACATATCACCATTACTCTTGGTCTGCACATTCTTTGGTGATGATGTTAAAATCTGATTTTGATTCACAATCTTTGTAAAACATTTTTGGTCAGTTTTTCCTTTCCAACTTTGTGGTGGACTTCTTGCTTTTTCATTCCTACTTGCAGCCAATGTGTTAGGTTTATCTTCTTTCTGAAAAATGAATGGAATTTCATCTCTAACTTGTGTCTAAATTAAAAGGTAAGAAACATTTCTATCATAACTGAAATTTATGAAAGGACACTTTCTCCATTTCTCCATTTATTATTCCATTTCTCCATTTATTATGAGTCACCAAGTAGTACCTAAAGTAGACACATTGGTGATACCAAATTTTTAAAGAAGACATTGAATTAACAATAAGATGAAATGTCTTTCAACAACAGTTCAACATCTCAGTTCCCTTCATGTGTGAGTGATTTTCTAGGTAACTTACAAAAATGTAGGAGCTTGTAAATAATGAGAGGGCCTATAAGTAGGATTTCAAGGTAAATATTTCTCACTTGAATAATATTATTAGGTGTACGCATTGATTCTCAATTGACCTTTAATGTCCACATAAGTGAGATTTGCAAAAAAGCTAGTCAGAGAGTGGGAGTAATGATAAGGTTGCACAACTTGATACCAACCACTGCTAAGCTGCAGCTGTATAAGGCTGCAGTCTTGCCCTATTTGACTTACTGCAGTACTGTATGGCACTTTTGTAGGGGAAGTGATGCAAGAAAAGTGGAGCATGTCCAGGAGAGGGGTCTTAGGGCAGTTTTCCGTGACTGGAACGCTAACTATAGGCAGTTGTTAGAATGGGCTAAATTGCCCACCCTAGTGAACCGTAGATTGCAAGATATAGCGACCATCATGTNCACGAGCTGTCAAGTGGTTTTTGGTAAGTTAGAGCTTTTAAAACCCCAACAGTGACCCGAAATCTGCTGGACTAGCTTCAAAACACAGTTTTCCACAAAAGCTGCGGCCATTAATGGGTTAATCGTATATTAATACTTAGTTAATTATTATTTTATCTAAACTACCTTGTTGTGTCCTTACTTAGTGGTTTTATTACTGCTATTTTATAATTGACACATGAATAAAGTTCATCATCATCATCTTTCTTGCATCTTGTAATTAAAGTCCTCTTTCTTACTCATACCTTTTTTGTTGATAATTTGAGGCTCTTCCTTTTTCCATTTCCTGTAAGGATATCATTTACAGAAGAAAATGCCATGTAACTAATAGTTGGTTTTTGATTGTCTGATAGTCTCCTAAAGGCTGGTTGCCACTTTCCTCATAACTAACTGATTTTTTTTTCATGTACCAGTACTTAAGAGACACTTAAACTGAGACATCGACTGAAAATTAGTCCAGTGTCAGCTAACCATTGACTGGTCATTTGATTGACCGAGGTTACTCATAGTAGCTATTGTGCTGGTGATCTAAGGGGTCTAGAAGTCTATAGTAGTTGCTTCACTTTGCATTTATACCAACATGCTTATTCTTTGTGATTCTCAAACAAATTAACAGCAAAGGAGATAATGGAGAAGATGAAGCTGTGATTATCAACCTCCACTTTTAAAGATTTACTATGGATAAAGTCAGAAGACATAGAGAAGAAGTTTTTTTACTGTAATCTCCAGGGCTGAGTAGTTCAAAGTATGTTTAAAACTAATTCATATTTACATGTTACCAAAATGGACACTTTGAGTACGCAGTCATCTCCCTAATCATTGTGAGTCACAAATTAGCCAAAGTTTAGTGGTCCCCATTTTCTCTGATTTTCAAGGTGAAGTGAACTATGAGTTCACATGTACACATGTCACATCGAAATTGCTCAAAAGAAGATAGCATATCTAAAATTATTTTGATTTGTCTTACATATTGCAAGTAAGATGAGAACAAAGTATGTGAACTGTGAGTTACTTCAGCAAAGATAAAGAACATCTGACTATCTCTGAAAGGTTGTGACCATTCTTGAGAGTGGAGTTTTTCTTTATCCCGTAGCAAGCTCAAAATATTTGTTTGCAAGGTAGATAAAATCACCCAAACCTTTAAATTCTTGCCCCACTGTAGTCCAAAGTTGACAGGTCTCCTATAGAGTAACAAAATAACTTATTGCTTAGTTACTTACATCTTAGGATCATAAGAGCAGCTACAAACCTCAGCAACGATTTGAGGTAAATGATTTGAGGTATCTCTATCTGAAAGAGGATTTGGTAGATCATAAAAATCTCTATCAACCCTTAACAGACTAAGTTAACACTGTCCTTCTCCTTAACCCTTTCCAGTCTAACATTAGTATCCACTTTCTCCACACTAGCCAAAACCGAATTTCTACTAGTGGGCTACTGTTAGTGTCGAGCCCCGAATGGTCACCAAACATTTGACCAATAGTGAGGTAATATCTTAGTTAACATGTGATCTACATGAAAGAAGTTCATTAGAGGTCACTTGGAGGCTAACCATCAACAAACTATGAATTAACTATCAGAAGACTATTTTTTGACAACCAGCCAGTTATTGAGGGACTACGAACCAGTTCATTGATTGAATATTGACTGATATAAGCCCCAAAAAGTAGTCTACGATGTGCACATCCTACAAAGGTATATTTAACAATTATTCCACGAGCGCGCGTTGGATATGAGACGATAGACAGCCAATGAGGTGCGTAGCGCCGAGTTGGCTATAACCATCTTATATCCAACAAGCACGAGTGGATAATTGTTTTATTAAAAATAAACGCTCCCAAGATATTAGACAAATCTTCTCGACTTTATTTTGTAAGAAGAAACTGGATGTTACAATATACAGATATTAGATTATGGTATATTGGCTCATATACCATAATGGCTAAGCCAATAAAAAGTCTTGAATTGCATTATCCAATGATCCAGTTTTTAATAATTAACAATTATTCCACGAGCGCGCATTGGATATGAGATGATAGACAGCCAATGAGGTGCGTAGCGCCGAGTTGGCTATAACCATCTTATATCCAACAAGCACGAGTGGATAATTGTTTTATTAAAAATAAACGCTCCCAAGATATTAGACAAATCTTCTCGACTTTATTTTGTAAGAAGAAACTGGATGTTACAATATACAGATATTAGATTATGGTATATTGGCTCATATACCATAATGGCTAAGCCAATAAAAAGTCTTGAATTGCATTATCCAATGATCTAGTTTTTAATAATTAACAATTATTCCACTTGAGCACATTGGATATGAGATGATAGATACCAACTCAGTGCGCAGTGCCAAGTTGGCTACAATAATCTCATATTCAACAAGCGCAAGTGGAATAATTGTTTTATTAAAAAAATGTCCCCAAGATATTAGATAAATCTTCTTGACTTTATTTTGTAAGAAGAAACCGGATGTTACCATGTACAGATATTAGATCATGGTATATTGGCTCATATACCATAATAGCTAGGCCAAGAAAAAGTCTTGAATAGCATTATGCAATGATCCAGTTTTTAATAATAACAAATACCTGGGGAGCAACTTCAGAATACCTGTCCACATCATTTACATGTCGGGAGGCTTTGAAGAATGAGGTATAACACAATAGACGCAATTCTTATTCAATGACATGTAATTGATGTGGCCGGGTATTCTGAAGTTTAGCCAATACCTTACCTGGTGAAACATATACAGTTTGTAAAGCAAAGATTGTGCTGTGTTTTATTTAAGAACGGAGAATCCGAGAATTAGAATCTTTAAGTAGAACTCTCTTCATTGTTTTAAAGCAGTAAGGACTTGAAACTGTCGACAGCCAATATCCAATGCATCACTCGGTTAGTTTATAATGCACCCTTCATGCTTCAGCGCTTTCGTGGAAAAACTTTTCTCGAAATTGCCGTATGCTTGAAGGGTATGTCAAGTACGATTGTGAAATGACTAAGATACTACCAAAAACCTGTCGGTTATTGCACCTCTCACAGCTATTTCAGAGAAGTAGAAGACCACTGTTTAACTGGCACAATTAATAACCCACTTATTTAGGATGTTGGTTGAATACTTAAAAAGTTTGTATATCCCTCGCCTTCAGCTTGTGAAATTTATAACCAAGATCATGACGGTTACGTTAAAAGGCAAACAGACATAAAACTCTTTGGCAATTGCTTCCAGTCGCGTTTAAACCGAAAGCGAAAGTAGTCGAATTTCAGGAGAGTGAGAAACATTTTCCATGTTACAAGGTACGTAAGGATTCAGGCTTTTATAGCACAAACAGAACAAACATTGAAGTATTGTATTCAGTAAGTTTACCTTGCCAAAGTAACTCTTGATGGTTTGCTGAGATGGGCTTCTTTCCTAAATACATTAAAAGTCAAGAAAAAATATTCAGAACCAAACTAAATTTAAAGCTGTGTCTGTAATTTTTTTACCCTGTGTTGTCGTAAATCCTTTCGTTTTATATCGTCTCACCTCTTCTTCAGAGCTGTTTCTTGCTCGCTTTCCAGCTCCTTTGCTCAATTTTGGTTTTCCCATTGTCCTGTCAGCGAAAAAAGGAACAGATAAAGATTTTAAAAATGTTCATATCTGAATTTTGATTTCAGGACACTCCAAAATGAATGTTGTTGGCCAAACAATCAGACGCACAGTTAACTCGCGAGAGGCGAGAATTTCCCGCCAAACCGCCATCTTGCCCTTCGGCATTAAAAAACGTTGTGTATCAAACAGTAAATGTCATCCTCTGTCTATCTCACGAAAGGGGGTGCTTTCTTGCCGAATCATTAGGTATTTGTGACTCGTCAATCGCTTCACGATATTTTACTCGTGGACATCTATAGATGATTTTTATTTTTCTTTCTGCGATATCTCGGAAGGATTCCGCTATAACCCCACGCTATTTGAAACAAATCATTACTTTCAAAGGAAAATTATTGTTGTCTTCTTTAACCAAAGAACTGGTTGCATAATGAAATATGAGGATATATGGAAATATTACCGAGATCTCCCCTCCCCCGCTTTGCGGAATAATCGCTGAACTAGTTCATTTGGTTCGAAACTGATTTCATCCATATAAATAGAGTTTGTATCCATCACAGATTGAGAAAGTAGTCTAAGAATTAGTTCTCATGCCACTCTTTAGCGTTCAAGAAAACTTTTACGGAAGAAAAGATGATGAAAGATATACCGTAAAAGTAATGAAATTCACAAATTGGAAGCTAATTTATGCAAATTGTATCATTCTTCATAAATCCAGAACCAGATGGTGTAAAACGCGAGTAACCGCATTCATTATTCAGGAGCACTTACGTCAGAAGAAATGTCAGTGTCACGTGATCTTAGCTATTTGTCCACCTCATGCAAAATCTAAATCATATGTTCTAAATATTTCCTAACAAAAAAGTTAAAACAAACAAGGTGACCTTAATTTACAATTGAAGGATTGATCGATCGATCCAAAATACAAATAACAGTCAAATTTGTCACCACAAATTTGGTGAAAAAAAGGAGTGATGTCTTTGTTTTGTTAAAAAAATAGCGGCCTTTCACGTGCATGAAACAGATCAAAACTCGCAGAAGACTCCTGGGATTTTTTAGTGTGCGAGAAACGTGCTTGTGGTAAATGACATTTTTCTTATCATGGTGCAATTCACCTTCTTAGTGACTTACGAGTGAGAGGTAGGAAGAAAAAGCTGCAGGATTTCTTCGAATGAGTAAAACCTGAAAGACAAGCTGTTATTGTTGAGTTTACTCTTTTAAGGCAAGACTAATTGTCGCAATGGCAAATGTTTATATTTCACCTATGGCTTCTCCTTCATTGGAGTGTTTATCTCCAGCGGAACTGGCGAACGAAAACAGTGAACAAGTAGAGCAAGTGACTACAAATCAAGATGAAAACGAGAATGATGTATTCAAAGGAGAAACGAACGCATTTGCGAAAATGAGAGGTATCTGCAGATTGCTTTTAAATTCATTACTTGGATTGGCGTGGTTGGCAGGGGATTAGAGATTTTTTAAGTTCGATTTTGGATTGCTGACAGCTTTGAACGGGACGCGCTTTTTAAATTGAACGAGACCAGGTCCTGAGCTTACGCCCGGGTCGATGTCTGAAAGATTATTACTTCCTGTGGAGTCTCGCGCAAGAACGGAACTTTGATGGTTTGAAAGAGTAGTACAAAGTCAGATATTTGAGGCCTGGTAGCCTGTTGCTAGTTGTTCTAAATTGATTATTCGCCTAGACAATTCTCGACAAAAAAACTTTCTTGTTGCCTCACATAACAGCAAAAAGTCGGAAAATAATCATACTCATTTACAGCAATCCTGGTTAATATTAAGATTGGGGATAACCCATTCTAAGCCTTCTATACCTAGTTACAATATAGATCTTCATTTGATTTACTCGTACCATTATATATAACGATTTTGAGTAGAGACAGATTTTTGAGAATACGATCGAATATCATCGGAAATATTCGAACAATTCCGACAATTTTTCCGTTGAAACTTCGGGATTACCAAATCTAGGCCCCTAGTTCGTGCTTATAATCGACTTTGCTTGTAATATGCATTTCATTCTTAATTGGCAGGACATATGTTCGAAACACCGTCAAGCACCCTAACCACTTTACGTCTTAGCGCCAGCAGTGAAGACACCAGTCAGACTAGCAGTCCGAAAAGAAGTCCTTTATATTGTTTCCATTCCTTTACATATGGGGTTGGTGGGTTGAGCGTGACTGCAGCTGGCTTGCATTATGGTGGAAAGACAACTACTGGACTTGATGGTAATGATGTTTGCGAGAGTGAAAGCTTTGATGCCGATTCTCCCAATGTCTGGCGCACGAGAATGGTCGTGGATCCAGAAGAGAGTTGGTCACCCACACCCACACCCACAATCCTTCACGAGAGGAACTTAGGAATTGAAGAATGCCCTTTAGACGGTTTGCCATACATTTATACCTACCACTCGCCAAACTCAAGATAGATTTAGATTTTTAAAAATACTTTGCCAGGTGCAAAGACGAAGTTCCTCGCAAAATGGAAGTGAACAAGTAACCTAGCTTAAAACAACAAAACAAAAAAACTGCAAATCGAATGCTTGCCTTTGTATGCGGCCTAAATTTTCTCTCTTGGTCAGTCTATCCTCCTTTCCGTCTCTTTGTATCTGCATTCTTGGTTGTGTCATTGTGTCTTTGTCTGCCTCTCTAATTGTGTCTGCTGGTTTTTTTTTACTTCTTTTATGACTTGGCCTAAAATGTTTAACGTTTGATAACTACAAAGATTCGACTCTGCACCGAGGCATATAACCTTGAAGTATCTAAATTTCACCATGATGTTAAGAAGTAAGCTGGTTGTTAACACCAGGGAATAAATTATGATTGGCCAGTCTCGCACACTAACAACTAGGCTTTGCGACACTACTGATTGCTTGGAGGTTGTATTCTTACGCTGAGGTATAAAATGTATTTTTTTTTTTTTTCAGGCTCTATGTCGCTAGAGGAAACCTGTCAAACCAAACACTCCGAAGCTTTTCAGGCAGAGATTTACGTCAAACTCCAGAACTCGAATACTGCCGTCAAAAGCGTCTCAAAGGAAGCGACAAATGCACTAAAACTGCCCTCATTGCAGGAAGAAGACCATTCAGAAACTGCAGATGGCGAGAAAAATTGCGCAAATCCTCTTGTCACCAGACCGTCACCGAAAGGCGCAGAAAATCCTTTAGTTAACACTCACCAGACCACAAAATCTTCACAGAATGGAAATATCACGACTCATATCATGGTGCCCAGCAAGCAAGTTATCTCTGATCATCAGCGGAATGATATTGCAGGGAGCCCATCAGGTGTGATCATGGACATAAAGAATGACTGGATGGCAGGCGAAGTCGTGGAAGGTAATGAAACTTAAATAATCAAACTATATTTGTACTTACCTAGGGGTCACTGTTTAAAATCTAACTAAGGACTGTGACAGCTTAGAGCGCGCAATCAAGGCAGGTATGCATAACACATTCATATTTTTCCCCTTTGAATCACTCGCCATTTGTGGCCCGCTTATCCTTCCCAGAATCAAAGCTGTAGGTAATTTTATACGTTTACTACCTTATCTCGAGCACTTTTTATTATTCTTCTTCGTTCAAACTAGAAAAAGAAGTTGTGGATGAGGATCGCATACCACTGATAGGTCAAGAAAAATCTTACACGAGGTACACAATTGAGAAGGACTTGGAGGAGGAGGAGGAGGAAGGAACCCCCGTCACGTGCTTTCCTTGCAGGGAGTGCCATATTCTATAAGATTGTGCGGCGGAAGAACTACATCGCTTCAATTTGTGAAAGGACTGCGGTATTTTGAGCAAACTTGGTGATATAATTAGGAAAGAAAAATCGGAATCTGTCTCATGTTTAGTAAAAGCAACAAATGTAAGCTTTAGGAATAAAACCACTCAGTTTTCGGTGTAAATGCACAGATCAAGTGGGAAGGAAATGGAAGATTTAATACTGAAGTACTTTGAATAAAGTAAATTGGTGTGACGACCTGAGAAATGTTATACCGTAAACTTCCTTCCCGTTACCTCTCCACACTCGAACACCAAAATCTATCTTCTCCTTACTGTTCTCCCGACATTTCCTGTTGTACTGACAAGGAGAATTTATATTTGTTGGAGCCTCTTCTGCTAATGACCATTTCCGTTACTCTCAAGATGTTATTGTTTGATTCAACAGGGAAACAGCCAGGAGAAATTATATGTCAATCACACGTTGGGGTATAAGGGTTAAAGTTGTTGCGTTTAGGACGCGTTTGTGACGGTCTCTGCTTTTGGACAGGTCATCCACATCCGACACACAACAAATTACTCGTCCTCACCACACAAAACTTCAACAAAGTTACCTCACTGCATGCATTAAAGAAATCAAATCAAACCATTCTCAAGCATTCTCTGGTGTAATCAACAAAAGACAAAAAGTCAATTTATTAGTCTGAAAGGAAAAGAAGAGAAGACCGCCACGAGAATATCGAATGTTTGTTTAGGAAATAAATTCGGGGTCGACACAGCGAGAAGTACACATGGGATTGTGGATCGCGCCTGTCCCAGCAGTATAGTTATAACATAACCAAAGTAAAGCGCGCGCTCTGATTGGTGAATTTAGCGTCCCCCATTTGCCCATGGGTGTACGCTGCTGACGTGAGCAAATGCAAAGACTATTTTTCCGCGCGCGCTTGTTTTTTCTGGTCACGTAAGATTTGTTAAATAAAAGGGAACTCTAGCTACAGTGTGTTAATGTTATGTTATAAAACAAATGGTAAACACCACAGCGTACACTATTGAGTTATGGATGCACTTGGGAGGTTTGCTAAGCACTCAAGAAGCTAGAGTCGCTCTCGGCTATCGCCTCGAGCGACTCTTACGCTTCTTTCGTGCTTAGCAACCTCCCGCGTGCATCCATAACTCAATAGTGTACGCAGTGGTGTTTACCATTTGTTAATTATAGCGCAGACAATTGCATTTCCTGAAAACATATTTTATTACTTTCTTGAAAATTACAAAAATACTCTGAAGAAGCAATGCCCTTATATCTAATTACCCACGAAGTAAACTCGCTAAAGCACTTCCCTTTCGGGAAAATTTTAAAAATCCTGTAAGTCTGAAGTGTCTGACTGAACCCGCAGATTTATTTGGTTACGTGGAAGCCGTAAACGCGAGCGCGTGTGAAATTCCCGCCACCAAGTGTAAATGTCTGTTAAGCCTTCAATTTGAGCTAACAAAGTGAAAAGACAAACCTCTGGAAACAACTGATAGATATTTCTTGCGCAGAAATTGGCTTGTAGTTTTTGTTGTACCATATACCAGAAATTGACTATTTCACTCTTTTCAACAGTTCGCTTAATAACTTTCGCCCTTTCGTCAGCAAGAGGACTGAAGTCAGAGGAGGGGTGGAGAACGTGCAGATGATAAAAACAGAAGCTCTACCACTCTCCCCTTGATGAAAGTACGCAGTAAATTTCGAATTGATTTGGATATCTTAATATCGAGAAATCCCGGGTGTCCACCCTTAAAGAGCCTAGCAAACTGGCTCAATGCGAATTGAAGCCTTCAAACTTCACGAAAATTTTGAATTCAAAGACATCCTCCATAAACTATCGGAACACGAGAAACTGGGAAGTCCCCGCATAACTGTTAGCGAGTCGCTTGCCATCTGGTGTAGGATCAGAAAACGCTACAAGCTCTCTGGGAATAATGCAGCCGTAAATGAAGTTTGTCCTAAGGGAGAGAAAAAGAGATTACTTAATGACAACTCAAAGTAAAAACAGCAAAACAATCCAAACCGCGGGAAAACGCAGGCGACCAGGTCATGATTAGCTTAAGCTTGCACTTGATTGGTCGAGAGGATGACTCGAGTTTTCTAGACCAATCATGGAGCGTAGGGCGGCAAAACCAATGCCATCTCTGATCACTTTCGACACTCAGTTGAAAATTGGTCTATGTACTGACTGTAATAAAAATAAAACATAAATAAAAAAATATTAATAAAACACAATCCTCTACTTCTCACCTTACACAGTCCAGTAATCTTGTGGCAACCTTCTTCCTTCTGTACTGACTGTGAACCCATATCCTGCTGATACCGCACTGTGCTGACTGAGGGGTGGTGCTTTCGAGCAAGACAAAAACAAAAAAATATGTGTATGTTGATGTGCAAAACAACTTCATAATAAAATTCATTCCGTTGGCAGATATTTCTGATTTCAATGTTAATGTTAAAAGAGATTCAAAAGGAAATCCAATCATGATAGTTCATTTCAATGTAATGTTACAAGAAAAAAGGCTGACACTATATGCATCAACAGAAGCTTATAAACCTGTTCTAGGTCATAAGCTTTTGGTTTGAATAATCAGACTATTTCTGAGAACAGGGCTCTTGCACTTTTTCATGAACCCAATTCAAGGACTTTTAAGGACTTTTCAGGTCATTTTCAAGGACCTTGGCTCTCAAATTCAAGGACCTTTTGCATTAAATAGGAGCTTATAGACAACTAATAAAAAACATTGCTATATATTGCATTTCAATAACATAACCCTGCATGCAGGACCAGCCAAAAAGTCCAACAAGTGTGACTTCAAGGTGACTGAGGTGGCACATCATAGTGACCACGTGCTAGGTAACCAAGGTTATTTTCAATACACCAATCAGGTACAAAATATCTAAAAACATGGGATTTGAAAGGAAAACTCATACTTGCAATTTGTGCTAGAAACTTACACTTTCAACACTGAAAACAAAAGAAAACTTCTAGTTTGATTCATCTGCAGTTATTTTAAACGACTTTTCAGAAATTTTCAAGGACCTTAGTCTAAATTCAAGGGTTTTCAAGTCCTTGGAAACAAAAAAAATTAAATTCAAGGACTTTCAAGGAGTGTGGGAACCCTATGAGAACTGCAAAAATGATGCTGGTCATGTTCTTTGATTAATGCCTTGAGATGACTACTGGCTATAAGTTACTACCCTAACATCAGTATGCACATTCTCCATACTCTTTGCTATAAATTTCCTTTAGACAAGGAGGATTTGTTCATAAATCAGAGCTTTATTGGTTGGCTATCATCTCCTTATTGAGGATTAAGCAGTGTTACAGTATGGAGAAATTATATGCTGGTCACCCTTAGGGTTTTAAGGGCTACTATTATATGGCTGTGTCTCACAAGGACTGGGAACTACCGAATTCACGAATTTGATTGGCTGATATCAATATTGAAAGCGGTCTAGATTTTCCCATCTAGACTGGCATCTAGACTGGTCTAGAAAAAAAAGGTACAAAGAATATAAAAAATTGGCATATAAGACACGGCCATGTTATAAACATCTTATTAACTGAGCTAGGTCGGTCTGTATGGGAGAGAGAATCTTGACCTCGGTCACTAGTATAGACCTCACTGTGTTCGGTCTGTACTGGCGACCTCGGTCAAGATTCTCCCATACAGACCTCCCGCTCGGTTAATAAGAACTAAATAAAGAGCAGTAGATGGGAAACCTAAAAAGGCTTTATGTTCCATTTGTACAGGGCACCTTTCAACATTCAGCAGCCATGATTTTTAACGAATTGCCAGCAAATATAAGGAATTGCACAGATTTTAAGAATACTGCAGGCTCTGCAAGCCGTTCTTGAAGGCGCGCGCTTTGTCTTTCTTGTAAAAATATAGAAACAACCACCACCACCAACCAATATATTCTGCATATTTACTTTCATGTATAGTTTTTATTACAATTTAGTTAGTCATTATAAATTAGTTTTAATATTAAATTTTAGTATCGTAGGCCTTCACAGATGAAGAGCCACACCTTTTTATGTGGATATACTGTGAATAAACCGTTATTATTATTATTATTATTATTATTATTATTATTATTAA